CACTCTTTCTACTGCACAATAACAACATCATATGAATACATTGTTAAGTATACAATAATGACTCTAATTATATAAAGAGCTAGGTTAGAATAATATGTAAGTGAGCAGCGTTCACACTCTTACACTTAAAAATAACTACATTCTCACTCTCATATAAAACACTTCAAATAAAAATTTAGTCATTATCAATCTTCATCTAAGTCTCACTCACACACATCTTATAAAAATAAAAAAAACTCAGGTGTGAGATGAGATCTACCACTTTATAAGCTTTTGAGCATAACTCTTATCAAGTAAGAGAATCATTATTTTATCATAGAATATTACACATTCAACTCTTCAAAGCATGTGTTTATGTAAAAGCTAGCCTAGATAATTATGAGGAATTCACCAACCTTCGATAGCATATATAAAAAATAAGAAGCATCCCAAAGCATGACACACAAGACAATGATTTTATGTATAAAGTTCTTTCAATATTGTTTTATGGATTTACACTCAATAGTACTATGGTTTAAAACCTGACTCTTTTTTTTTATTTTAATGATCTCAACTCTAAACTCATCTCTTACTTTAATATAAATATTATAGCTAAAAAGAGCACTACCAAGCTTTTTATCATTACATAATGAGAAGATATGAACATTATAATCTATATTTAAAGGTTCAATAAGGAAATTCTTAACATCAAAAGACTTCCTGAACTCATTATCATTAAAACCTTAATTAATGGAGTCTATAACAATTCTTTATAAGAAATGTTATATACTCTCCCTCATGGAAATCTTCTTAGTATTAAACAAGCAATAAAAAATTATATCATGATGGAAAAAGCGAGCGAGATCAAACAAAATTACTCATGTTTTCACCAAACAAATTCTCTTCAATGTCACTAGTATTTAATCAAAGCATCTAAAAGAAACACCAAAGGATATATTCTTGATCACTTTACATTTTCGTGGCTCTTAATTATTCTTATAACCATCACATAGACTAAGATGCATGTTACTATCATAAATAAAGAACTTGTGCTAGAAAACATAGTTCAGATTTTCATTTGGCCTTATATATTTATCATTTAAGAAGCTTAAAGTTCAATTTTTGTAATAAAAAAATAAAAGTGTTTGTTAAAAAGGTTTGATTTTTAATAAAGTAAATATATTATTTTAGAAAAGTATATAAAACTAATTATAAGATAAAAGATTAATGGTGAAACAAACTAGATTTTTTAAAAAACAAGTAAATTCAAAAGGAACTATTATTTTTCTTAAAATTATTTTTTAATGAAAATTGTGAACTTTTGTTTTGAATGTCTCACTGTGTATTTATAGCCCATGAGTTTTGTCCTTCTATGAAAAGAAAGGTTTGAATTGTAATTTTATCTTGATATCATTTAATGAGATATAAATATCTTTTATATTTATATTAATATTTGATAGAAATATGATGGATTTCCAGAGGACTTTTACAAACCTAAAATACGAACTTTTGTTTTGAATGTCTCACTATGTATTTATAGCCCATGAGTTTTATCCTTCTATGAAAAGGAAGGTCTGAAGTGTAATTTTATCCTGATATCATTTAATGAGATATAAATATCTTTTATATTTATATTAATATTTGATAGAAATATGATGGATTTCCAGAGGACTTTTACAAACCTAAAATGTGTAGGGAAATTATGGTTCAAAACGTTAAATATAGCCAAGTTCATAGAGGCTAAGCACTTCCCCTAAACTAAACCTAAAGAAGGAGGGTCATGTCCTTAGACATGTCCTAGGTAAGATGGTCAATCCTTTAGGCATGCTTTAGGGAAAATGGTGGACGTGCTAAAGGAAAATGATCATTCAATTGAACATGTCAAGAAATGATGAGGTCATTCCAATAAGCATGCCCAAGAAATGATGGCTGACGTACCAAGGGAGGATGATCATTTCTTTAGGCATGCCTAAAGATGGATGTACATTCTCTTAAGCTTAGCACACTACCAAACTCCATCATGTTTAGATCTAGCTAGCACCAAACTCGACGTTTCTAACATTGGCATATTACCAAGCCTAATTGTGTATGAGTCTGGTTAGCATTAGACCCAGTGCTCCCAAAGCTTCACAGTATGCCAAGCCTAACACGTCTTCAATAGGTGTACTTGTTTTCTTAAAAATTTATACTCGTAAATCTTTTTTAATTCAGTGTTTTTTTAGTAAAAATACATTAATTAAAATTTGATTAATCAATTAGTATTTTAATTGAGATACCTGTTACTGTTTTCTGAATTATGGTTACCATCAAATGCATATATGTTTGTTTCATGTATAATAAGTACTTCAAAAATATTGGGTTGGGTTTTCTTCCTTTTTCTTCCATCCCCTTGAAACTATTTTCCTTGAAAACCCAAACATCTTTGATAATTCAATATCAAAAACCAGAAATATATGTATTAACTTGCATGAGACGCAGCTTTTGTTAGATAGAATATTATCTTTTCTGTGTGTATAACCAACCTCTTATTCGATCAGTTATTTAGGTTTCCTAATTTCCTTCATTTTTCTCTGTCAAAGCTCTCCGTAGGATGTCCCCGGCAACACATCTCTTTTTTGTGGGGTTGTCAGCGTAATTAATTCCAACAAATGGAGCAGCTGTTATCATCCAGGTTATGATGACAGCATCCGGATAAGTGGAACTCTGCCCTGAAATGCTCAACATGGTTGTGGAAAAAAAGAAATTTCTGCCTTCTGAATGTTGCAAAAAAGCGATGTCATTGTCATGAATGCAGTGCGGAGTATAGAACGTATATAAATAACCTTCGATAAAGATTTTATGTTCACGCATAAAGGCAACATCCCTGTTTCTCAGTAAGGATGGCTACAAATACTGGTCTAAAAATTACCAACCTCGAATCCTGAAGAAACATTCAAACATAGTTAATTGTAGTTAAACTTGCCATCCTGGGAAACAACATTCAAACATATAATACCTATATCTGTTCGTTCAACCAAGTAGATCAAGCATGCATTAGTAGCTCACAACCTGTACGAGGAGACAGAACTGATTCACAAATATAGAGCTCATTCAGTGGGTCTCGCTTGATTTTGCTAAGCAAATACATTCAATGATGGTCAAATGCAAATCTGAACCTCATCTTCTGTTTTGAATTCTGTACAGGACATGCATTGCCAGAGGAAGTGGTTTATTCAAGGTGAATTAACAAATACTTGAGAAGCCTTGAAATATGTAAACGTAAAACTTCATCATTCATTATAAAACTGCTTATGAAAACACTAAGCATTTTCATACTTGTCTGCATTTGAGCCTAGCATGCAATTCAAGCTAGTTGACACAACTTTGAACAGAAACTTTTAAAAGGTAGAGAATTATTCTTTCAAAAACTAGTAGGATGAATTTTTCAAATCCTATACATAACCACCATTGGCCCGAATTACCTGCCCATTAATCCACTCACTAGCATCAGTAGCCATAAACCCAACAACCTCTGCAATGTCCTTGGTCTCACCAAGCCGGCCTAGCGGGGACTCCTCTATGTTCTTCTTTATCTGCTCCTCAGTTTTTCCAGCAAAATACATCTCTGTTGCAATAGGCCCTGGTGCAACACAATTTGCAGTAATCCCAGTTCCCTTCAGTTCCTTAGCTAATATCCTTATAATTGTCTCCACTGCAGCCTTTGATGCTGCATATGCCCCAAATCCAGGCCTCAATCCACCAACCATAGATGATGATAACAGTATTATCCGACCACCACCACCATGTTTCAGCCGATTTGCTGCTTCCTTGCAGCATAAAAATGCACCTCTAGTGTTGACACTGACAACAACGTTGTTTTTAAAAGTTGAGTCATAAATCATGCTGCTTTGATATGAGACAAAAAGGAACTTGTATGCATTATATAGCATTAATCTGAGTTGGAATTTGTTGCAAATTCTTTGCCTTCAAAAACAACTCTTTATAGGTCCCCCACGTTCAACTTCACTATAAAATTTCAAGTACCCTCTCCTGAGCCAAGTTATTTAGATAACATTAGGTTATCAATTTTTTACTAAAATTTCCAATTAAAGCTAAACAGACCTTTAAAGATCTGGTTTCAAGCACCCTATGCATATTGCCCAGAATTTCCCATCAATGTTTTTGTCTTCCCAGCTTCAAGCTGACAATTCAAGCATTATGTCTTTGTTGATCTTAAATTATCACGTGCAATATTTGGTTTGTTTTCTGATTGATGAAACATTGATATTTTTCAGCTAATTTTACCACTATAACTAGCTGTTCTCATTGAATCACTGCTCCAAAGAATTATTCTCAAAAGCCAGACTTTATCCAGAATCTGAGTCAGTCATCAAGTAATAATTTATTTCAGTAATTTTCCGACAGCATATCAAAATATACATTTTTGTTTTACCTTCAAGCTATCATACAGGAAATTCACTATTTACTAAAAACAAAAGCTTAAAAAAAAGAGCAAAAGTAAAAAGCCATCTCTTTGTTGGTTTATAAAAATACCTGAAAATATGATCAAAATCCTCCAAGGAAGTGTTGGGAATGGAAGGATATTTAGGATCCAATACACCAGCACAGTTAACCAAGATATGAAGTTGAGAGCCAAAGACTCTTTCAGCCTCATCAAAGAGAAACTTGACCTGGGCTGGATCAGAAACATCAGCTTGGGCTACTATGGCTCGTGGGGTATTGTCAACACAGGAAGAATTGATGTCATTAGCAACAAGATCAGCCTGTTCCTTGTTGGAAGTGTAATTAATAACAAGTTTTGCACCAAGTGAAGCCAAGTGGATGGCTATGGCTTTGCCAATGCCACGGGATGAGCCTGTGACTATGGCTACACGATCCTGGAGAGGGGGAGACAGTAGAGGTGTTGGGGCGGTCATGGTGTTGTGTTGCTGAAGAAGGAGGAGGGGTTTAGGGTACCAAAGCAATTCTATTTAATCACGGCAAGCCAGACTTTTGGATTGAACAAGTTGTTAGGATTATTACGGTGCTGTCTGTAAACGTAAGAGATATTGTTTTTAAAAATATTTTTTTTGTTTAAAAATTATTAAAATATTTTTATATTTTTATATTAATATTTTTAAATAATCCAAAATTATATATATAAAAAAAATAAAACATTTTTTAATCACCAAAATAAACCCCCTCTATATTCTACATTGTGTTCTCCCAGTAGGAAACATGTAGTCGATGCTGCTACGCTAACCTTAGAAGCTACGCTCAAAAGGCCAACCAATTATGCACATTGGTAATGTTTGGCATACGTTATGGATTTAGGACCATGAGGGTATTTAGTATGATATTAGAGATTATTTTTTAAAGTATTTTTTATTTTAAAATATATTAAAATAATATATTTTTATTTTTAAAAAATTTATTTTTAATATCAACATATTAAAACAATAAAAAAACATTAATAAATAAATTGAAAAAAAAAATTTAAAATTTTTGAAAAGTGTAATTGAACCGCGCTTCGAAACACCTTTTAGATTATAATAGATAAATAATTATTTTGTTTTGTGTTTAATATACATTGGACCAAACAATTTATTTTATTTATATTTGGTAGACATTGAATATGACATGACTGATTCAAGGTTTTGATTTGTTTGAGTTTAAAAAAATATATATAAAGAATTAATAAAATCTAGGTCATTTTGTGACCTAATCGATTCTAGATAAAATACAAGTGAATAATCCATTGATTTTTATAATTTTTTTGTTAAAAAAAGATTGTTTTGATTATTTTTATTAGTCAACTCAGATTGATTCATTCAACCTGTTACCTGTGTCTTGCCTCAAGTTGACTCTTAAGTCGGGTTCTAAAACTATAATAATATTAATGTTTATTTATACATTAACTTGAGTCAACCCAAGTTAACCCCCCACCATTATTAAGGTTTTATCTTGAGTCAATTCTTGGGTTGAATTTTAAAATTATGATCATAATATTTTTTATCCTTGAGTTGAACCAAGACAATGCTCAACATGGCCCGTGACTCGAGTCTTGACTCAGGTTAATTCCCGAGTTGGATTTTAAAACTATAATAATAACTATTTTTATCATTATGTTAACCTGGATCAATGGTCAACCCGACTAGTGACTCAGGTCTAGATTCGGGTTGACCTTTTAATTGAGTTTTTAAACAGTAATAATAACTAATTTTATCATGAAATTGACCTCGGTCAATAGTCAACCTCACCCCTAACCCAGTTATTGCCCCGAATTGATACTTTAATCAAGTTTTAAAACTATAAAAATAACTAATTTCATTTTTATATTGACTTGGGTCAATAGTTAACTCGACCCATAAACCAACCCTTGAATCAGGGTGACCCAAGTCAATGGTTGTTTAATTTATGACCCAGGTCTTATTCCGGGTTAACCATCTAGTTGGGTTTTAAAACTATAATAATAATTATTTTTATTTGTATTTCGATAGAAATCAACACAAGTCAACTTTTACACATAATATTTAATAAACTTGTATTATCTTTTTTATACAAACAAAAATTTATCTATTAGAACAATTTTAGACATAATAAAATTTAATTTTTATAGTATCCAAAACTAAACCAAATAACTTCCTAAAAAATTTATTTTATTCAATTCATCTTTATTAATACTCGAAACATTACCTTAAAGTTATAAATTGAAACTTCTCTCTCTTTTTTCATTATTGAAGCATGATATTCCACGGCTCATCATGAAATTATAGATATACTAAATTAATTTTTTTAATTGTAATTAAAGCTATTTATGATGGTATATTTTGATTGTTTTATGTTTTTGTTTTTATTTTTAGATTTGGTTTAATATTAGTATTTAGGGACGTTCTAAAAAACCAATCAACGGAGAAAACAAAAAAAATCAAAAAAACCGAACCAAGATAAAAATTGATTAAATCAATTTTTAAAACTATAAATTTTAACAAATTTAGTTTGATTTTAATTTTAATTATAAAACCGATAAATCAAACCAAACTAACCAAAAAATCATAAAAACTCGTTGTTAGCCAAAAAGTAAAAATAGTTAATTAACATAACCCTACTTTACATAACCCCTCCTCTCCCCTACCCTCACAAACTCCCCTTCCCTCGTAAAAAAATTTAAATAGTTATATAAGTAGTTTTTAAAAAAGCTTTTGTATAAGTGGGAAAAGATTCAATATTCTTAGAAAGTATGTAAAAATTTAATCTCCCAAATGAATTATCATTTGTAATTAAGAATATAATAATAAATAATAAATTTTACAATAAGAAATGTAATTCTAAAATCATTTCAATGGAAAATAAAAATTAATAAAAGTCTAATAAAACCAATTAGATTAAAAACTATAAAAATCTACTAGGTCAACTTGGTGCTCTTAACGTGACTCGATTGACATGATTGAAACATAATTTATCTTTAAAAATTACAAGATGATTAAAAAATATTAAGATGAAAATGTTTTGGATCAATTCAAGTTAACTATCAAACTCGTAATTCAAGTTATGGATACGGTTTGATTTAATAACTTACAAAAATATTTAATTATACAATATTAAAAATATACAAGAGAAAGAAAGCAACCAAATTAAATTTAAAAAGAATATATTATGAAGGGCTTTATAAAAAGAGAACTTGCTAATAGTATATAAAAAAAATATTATAGTCTTATTCAAAAACAAAGTAAAAATAGAAGGGTATTTAATAAAATAATATCCCAAAAATATTTTAAAATAATTTATTTTAATGAATTTTAATTAAATTAATGGAAGTGTTTGGGTTTAGATGGGTTATTGTACTTTGCTTATTTAAAGAAAGTTAACTTACAAAAATATTTAATTATACAATATTAAAAATATACAAGAGCAAGAAAGCAACCAAATTAAATTTAAAAAGAATATATTATGAAGGGCTTTATAAAAAGAGAACTTGCTAATAGTATATAAAAAAAATATTATAGTCTTATTCAAAAACAAAGTAAAAATAGAAGGGTATTTAATAAAATAATATCCCAAAAATATTTTAAAATAATTTATTTTAATGAATTTTAATTAAATTAATGGAAGTGTTTGGGTTTAGATGGGTTATTGTACTTTGCTTATTTAAAGAAAGACTATGCAGATGATCTTTTTCCTTCTTCTTCTTGGAGTGGGTGGTTGACACATCATTCATGCATTATTTTTATTAAAAAAACATACACTGTGTCATATACAATAGATGACATGTTATACAATAAATGACATGTCATTAATTAGCTGTACTCCAATCATCTGAAGAGGTCAAAAGGTTATCAAAAAACCAAAGTCCAACTCCTTGGATCTAAAAAGGACTTGCTTTCAACCCTTTTTTAATTTAAAAACATGTAAGAAAGCTTCATATACCTCAATAAACTCATATATAACCTCAAAATACCCTTTAATTTGTTAAAAATAAAAAATTCACCACAATTTCAAAAAATAATCTCAAGCTCCGATCTCTTTTTCCAACGAGATGAGGGATAAAAATATACTTCAATAAAAAAATTTTCATTAAATAGAACTTATTGATACCAAAAATGATTTTTTTATATCACCAGCATGTGACTAATCAGCCATTTTCTTTCTCCTCTCCTATTTTTCGGTGACTTTCCCTCTAGTTTTTTAAACTCAAGGACTAAAACATGAATAAAATTAAGTTTTGGATCAAAATATAAAACCCTTAATAAATAAGAATCATAATTGAAAAACAAAAACTCTTTAGGGACCAGAATTTTTATGTTATTCTTCCCTTTAGGCTTTAATGTTTTTTTATTATTCAATTTTACTCCCTTTACTCTTAATCTTTAGAAAAAATAAAGACTTTGAACAATATCTTACAAAATTCATCACTAAGCCGATGCTATGATAATTATCTAATAAAATGATGAATGTATAAAAAATAAATTAAAATAAATTATTAATAAAAAACCTTAATCAACACAATATCAAATAACAAAATTAAACAGAAAAATTTGATAAAACTTTTAAAAAAATGGAGGACCAGACTTGAAAGTACTTTTTAAAAAATTATATATAAAAAAACAGCGAAAGGGTTGCTCGTCTTCATTTTTGGTCCCCTAGTTTTAAATCGAGAAACATTTTTCCAATATTATATCAAATAAAAAACAAATTAAAATAAGTTATCAACCCTAAATTTTCAATAACCACACAATTTAAGGACTAATTTGGAAGTAAAAACAATTAAATAATTTAAAAAAGGACCAAAATGCAAAAGGAAGAAAACATGTGTACTGCTATTGTAATTCATAGTGTTAAAGGTGTGTGGGTGAATAGTATTTGTCCCACGGTCTTTAGTTAGTTTCTTAATCTTAATTGCAAGAATGGAGAACCTTTAAGCTTCTAATATTATTAGTGCACGTCTACTAATAAAATGAAGAAAAACTTACAAGTGGTAGAAGAGGTTAAAAAAAAAAAAAAAAGAGGGGAAAGGAAAATAAAATTAACACACATGCTCAATTAAACAACAAATCCACCGTTAACTCTAATAACCTGGCCATTGATCCACTCCCCAGCATCACTAGCTATGAATCCTACAACCTTACTTATATCCTTGGGCTCTCCGAGTCGGTTCAAAGGGCAAGCATCCGCAATTCTCTTTAATGTTTCTTCAGTTTTACCTGCAAAAAACAATTCTGTCGCCACAGGACCTGGAGCAACACAATTAGCAGTTATTCCTGTACCCTTCAGCTCCTTGGCCACTATCCTTGTCATTGTCTCCACGGCTGCCTTGGAAGCAGTATAGGCTGCATAACCTGGTGTGAGTGCTCCAACAAGAGATGTTGATATCATGATGATTCTTCCACCACCCCCATGAGCCAACCGATTAGTTGCCTCTCGACAACACAGGAATGCCCCTTTGGTATTGACATTAAAGGTCATATCCCAATCCTCCACTGTTGTGTTAGCCAAGATGGGATACTTTGGATCGAGCACCC